TAAGCACTTTTGGCAAGGTGGCAAGGTTGTTCGGCTTGGAGGGCGGGGCTTGGCAACCCCAAATGTTTGTAGCGTTCTTTGGCATTAAGCCAGGAATAGTCCGCTATGAGGCGGAGCTAGTCGTAGCGACGTATCTGTAGGATAGTCACGAGATAATGGGCGCATTACAGTAAGAAAGTGCCTTGCAGGCTGCGCTAGCTGCAGCGAAAATCACGGGCTTCCTTTTGCAAGGCATCCGAGTTAAGATCACCATTGTTGGCTTTCCTAGAGTATCGATCCTATGCTTAGCATCAGGCGCCATATGACATGCCTGAAGTTGTCTCTTTTTTGATACATCGTTGGTTCAGTGGCGGAATGTTCGCTTGTCATGTGTTCGATTTGGATTCGATTTCCACTTTTTTCTTTATGCCCAAAGCACCATGATTCAATACGATAATCTACCTACTTTGCAAGATGTTTAAAAAACTTCTTTTATCTATCTATGTAAAACAAATATTGTAATACATCAGAATCAATGTATTGAAGGGATCGTTGTTGATATTTAGAAGTAAATCTTAAAGTATAGCAACAGATGACTTGAACTGGACATTAAAATGAGTTAGGGAGACTCTTCTTCATCTCCCAATTCAGGTAAATACGATGGGGCTGTTACCCTCTGGCTTGCGGACGAATTCGATGCCGTATCAAACTTTGTTGCTTGATACCTAATTCCAATTCCATCGGTTGTCCTTTGATCATGAAAAAGTTTTTTTCTTGGCATATAATAAGGAGGACGCTCGTCTTCGGTCAACATGGCAGCAGTTTTAGGGTATCGCGACGAAAGTGTTTCACTTTTGCGAATTTGTTGTGATTGAATCATCGTCGCTTGCCTCCCTTGCTGCAGTCCACCTCCTTGGCTCATCGCACTAACTTGAGTCTCTTGTTGTGTTGACATAGATGAAGTTGGTTTAATTCGCTCACTCTTGCTCGCAACTTTCCCATCTGATTTTGAGTCGTCCGATTTTTGACCTTCGGACCTCAGCTGATTCGCCTTTACTCTCTGAGCTTCTGCTGCGGCTCTGGCCAAAGCTGCCCGTTGTGCTTCTTCCTTTGCACGACGACGTTTGGCACATATTGCAATCATCCTTTCATTCTCTGCTACACGTTGTGCTTCCTTAGCTGCTGCTTCAGCTTTCTTCGCCTCACTTGCCATTGTCGGATACTTTCTAGGTGCCTGTATAGGTATTTCAAGGCATGAAGAGAGGAATTTGGTTGAACAAACCTTAGGAGCTTCCGCCGACTTCTCCCCTGACATTAAGGAAAGCTGCGACATCTGAACAGTTTGTAGGGCGATTTTCGCGCATCATCATTTTTCGAAGATCAATCTTAAACCAGGTTAATACTCACTCCAACTAATTGCTCTACATCAGATCCGATAAGACAAATTTCGTTTTGCTTAGGATCAAACTGAACTTCTTTCAGGCTGAACGATTTGTCGTCGTCCAAAGCATGCTTCTTTAAGGGATTTTCAATGTCTTGTGTACATTATAGGCTAATGGCATTTTTGCAAACTAACCAGACGACCCTTTACTCTCGCCTGCATTACTAGCGGACCAGTGTCTTGAAATTCTTCTGGATTGATAGCCTCTGAGTTCATTTTTTGAGGCGAAGGGGGAGCCTCAAAAAGGATGAAGCATTTTGAAGGATTTACTATACAAGCACAGATCATTAAATGGTTTTGAAATAGCTCACGTTTACTTCTTGGACAGGAGGCAATCCTATAAATCAGAATGGTATACATTTGCATATGCATGGGCATTCTTAGAGTTCGTATTACCTCTCCTTCTCCTCGACAATAACCACAGCGATCCACAAACAAAGCAACCAGTAATAACTAATGCTGCTAGCATCACAAGTAGTACTATAGTACTGTAAAAAATGCAATTCTACTTACATCAACAACTTCTCAACATAAAAACTGACACTCTTGTCCGTTTCAAAAACCCTATCATTTACAACTGGACGTCGTTCTCATAAAGTGAGTAAAGCGTTTTTTTTTTAAATTACGGTTGCCTTTCAGAGCTGTATTGTCTCATTAATTTTTAAACAAAATGAATCAAAAGGAGGCTATAATATGAGGCTTTTACACTGTTAGCGCAAAGAGGTATTTACGACAAAACAATGATAGAATTCGTTTGTTGAAAATTTAATCCTGAACAATGTGATGGTTTTTGAATATATTAGGAAAACATCAAAAAG